CCCTGTCAGTATATTGTGTGATTTTTTTTTTTACCTTTTCTCAAGTCTCCTGGCTAGTCTCATGAAACATGGGGTCCTCCTCTCCCTTCACTGGATGGTGGGACATCCCCAGTGATGCAGTCATGAGGACGGCCATGACATGATGACGCGAGCACCTCTTTATGCACCATTGGATAGTGAATGGGGCCCATGATGCCTTGCACTTATACTATGTTCTTAGTCCTTTGGGTTGGGTGATACTGAGCGAGTACTGTAGGGGACAAATTTGGATTGAAGTAAAGTATTGTAGCCAGAGCAGTTGTTCTTAATTTACCTTGGAGTTTAGTAAAGTGAACATGGGATTGTAGTCCATCACGGGAGCGGTGGCTACTTTACAACTCACACAGGGACCATGGCGAACAAAAGTAGCCACCCTCCAGAGGGAAGGACAGTGTCAGCACCAATGCATAGATGATTTGAGGATCTACAGCTGAGTGATACACAAATAATGAAGAGCAGTATGTCCCCCTGCACTCCTTACAGCGTCTCCGGCCCATATCACAATGATGGTACTTGCAATGATACTCAGGGATGGCGCTGTGCACATCAGACAGCAAATGAACAGGAATCACCAGCACTCAGTTGGAAAATGTTCAAATGGTAAAGTCCATTTAATCGGACAAATCGTCATACATGTCGCAATAGCCGATGTTTCGAGGCCACGCAGGGAACCTTTATCAGGTGTTACATTTTTGCCCCGATGAAGGGTCCCTGCGTGGCCCCGAAACGTTGGCTATTGCGACATGTATGACGATTTGTCCGATTAAATGGACTTTACCATTTGAACATTTTCCTACTGAGTGCTGGTGATTCCTGTTCATTTGCTGTCTGATACACAAATAAGATACATTTTTGTTAATAATTAAAAGGTACTTGAATGTATTTTTAAGATTTAACTCCTGAGTTTAGTGTCACTTTAAATTAGGAGACCTGTTAGTGGTATGGAATCTGTCAATGGGAGATTCAGGGGCTACCAATGCTGACCTTCTAAAAATGCTAGCTGACTAACTATCACTGTCCTCATTGACCCACTACAAGTATTCAGAGTCATAACTCCTATTCTGCATAATGAGCCTGTGACTCAGAAAGCATCAAAGTCATTGAACCAGCATGACAGCTGAGCAACTGCATTCCCAGAATGATCGGTCAGTAATGGCAACCCCCATATGTCTTTCATGACAGGTTTCCTTGAATATGGATGCCCTAGGTTGCATTCACACCTAAGCGTGAGAGTAGCCCAGCGATTTTTCTTAGCATGTTTGTGTGCACGTATTTCAAGTGTTTTTATGCACTGCTTGTAGTACAGGAGCAGAATCGAGTATTTTTGTTCCTATGGGCTTTGAATGGGAACGCATAAATGTGCATCTTATAATAGCTTTTCAGGCGCTCCAGTTAAAGTCTATGGCAACAAGACGCTCTATTCTGGCCGAAAAGAAGCTCATGTACTTTTCCGCGGTACAGGCTTGAGGCTGCGAGTGACAGAACGCTCTGATGTCAACAGAGGACACTGGAAACTTTGGGATCCTCTTGTTGAGCTTTGACCCGCTTAGGCAATTGAGCTACAAAACACCTAGGCGTAAATAGAACCTTATAGGTATACATAATGTACGCAGTGGAATCTAAAATACATAATGTATATGGGGGCTGTTGTGCTTGCCAAATGAGTTGTAATTGCGTCCATCAAGTTCAGAGATTTACACAGCTCTGCAATACAGCTCAGCCCTGTCTGCCAGAGCAGGAGACCTGATTTTTCTCTGAGGCAGTTAAGCAACACTTACCGTTCTTGTTCCTACCTCAGTCTGTGACTGTACAGTAAAAAGAGAAGCAGCACACTAATGAACTCATATCTCTGTCACTCTGCTCTCTCCTCCCATCAGCCCCTCCCCTGTTAGCACATAAGTATTGCACCACAACTGATTGGCTCCTTGTATTGCTTCTACTTCTCCTATTCTGAGCTCTGCTGTGGGAGACAATTGCACTTGCGGGTACTTACACTGCTTGCATTTACAAAAATGCATGTAATGACTATTCAGCTGTATTAATTTGTGTTTATATATGCCTGGAGTTTAGCTTTAGAGAAAGAGAAAGAAGGAAGGAATGATGCTAAAATACTGATGTTCTCGATTCCCTAGTATTCAGTTAATGCCCTTGGGGGCTTGGGTTTGGCTATACCCCATCACACCCAGTTTGTGCCACTGGGCCTATAGTACACAGTGGTCTTTTGTTTACATTGACGATATCCACTTAGAAAGACTGGAGCGCCTCCGAGGTTTGCTCAAGCACACACTCATTTTTATAAAGCAAACTGAGCCGTATGAAGAACATTCTTTTATTTCAATCCAGTGCTAATATCCCCGATTCTAAGGATAAACATGGAGCGTCTGGCCATCTTTGCTCTTCTTAGATGATATTTGTACAAGTCCCTATTAGCCTTTACTTCAAGATTGAACTCCAGCAACTAAACACATAACATGTTATTAGATAACAGAGTCCATGCAAACATCAGAGCTGTTATCATGTGATCAATGAACAGTGCTGGGCAGAAAACCCCAAATGGCCCCTTTGTTCATTGGGTCCGTCACATGGTGGTTCTTTGGATGCAGATACATATAGAACTCATTTTAACCCCATGATCTGGGGAAGTGGCGGGATTATGATGCAGAAAATGGATTTCACACACTTTTGTATACCTCACTTCTTTCTAAAACGGGAAAGAAGGACTCCTAATAATGGCAAATTGTCTAGGCAGGAGACATACCCGTCACATTTACTGTATATCACTTCAGAATAAAAAAAGCAAGCCAGACCATGAATGAATTGTTTAAAAAGAGCCACAAAAGGGATACTACAAAAAAACAACACTTAGGGGGTCATTCACTAAGCCGCCGGAAGCAGCCGAGTGAATATACGAGCCATAGTGAAGTAAGCCGAAGAATTATTCACTACGGCTCAGTACGGCCAATGAACAACGGCCGGCTTCGCCCAGTTGTTATTGTTTAATGACAGTTCAGCGTCCCCAAATCATGGGGGCGCTGATCTGGTATTACAACTGGGCGGAGCCCGCCGTGAGATGACAGCTAGCTCCGCCCAGCGGTTATTTGCAGGGCAAAAGGCCAGCATTCGGCAGACCATTTGCCCCGCTTCGGCTGTCACTTTGGCTCAGTCGAGCCAAAGCATATGCCTTTGGCTGCTGTACAGGCTATAGTAAATAGCCCGTAAAGCAGCACTTCGGTTCGACTAAACCGAAGGGCTCCGGCAGCCGAAGAAAGCCGAAGGATCAGCTGAAGCTACGGCAGGACCCTTCGGCTCCTCTGTGAATAACCCCCTTAGAATAGTGGGTGACTATTCTTTTTGACACAGCAGCTTTTCACAGTAATATAGCGCAGAGGCTTCATTGTATACATGCTGTTTAGTGTAGATGGTGGAATCTTTATATTGTTTTCAGCTGAGCCCTACTCTATACCCAAATCTCTGATTAAACAATGGATGGCAGTTGACAGACATTTTTATTAGAAAGTTTTAAAAGTGTAAAATTACTGACAGGTTCACTTTAAATCTGATTAAAACACTTGGTTCCACATAAATGACAAGAGCTGTAGTTTCCTGCAACTTTATGAATCACTCCTCACCCATGGGAAGGGGTAGGGGGGCTGTTCCGCTGATAACAAGCAGTTTTAATGGGCTGTCACATTATTCCCCAGTCCTTTCTGAATGATACACATTAGCCTTGTGAGTGTCAACATTCACAATCCACATCAGCCTTTCTCAACCTTTTCACTCCGGAGGAACCCTTGAAATAAATGTCATAATTCGGAGAACACCTGCTAAAATGATTATATCTACAGTACAGCTCATGGTACATTAGTGTGATCAGTAGGCTGTAGATATAAAAGAAATACATTTAGCGAACCTCACACCTAGATCCGATCTTTTTTTAGTAGCCGCCTTAACTATGACATCATTCATTTCAGTAATAATCATCTAAAATGAATAATGATATCAGCCGGAAAAAAACATGCAAACATTAAAAATTGGTAGTCAGTGGAGAAGTGGCCCCTTACATTGGTGGTCAATGTAGTGTTTCTGTACATTGGTCACCAGTGTGCCTTAGATTAGTGGACATGGCAGAAGGACTCCCTTACACTAGTGGTCAGTGTAGCAACCCCTTACAATAATGGTCAGGTAGCAGATCAATCTTCCCTTGCTACTACTCATGGAATCCTTTGCAACCTCTGGAGGAAGCCTATGGTTGAAAAAGCCTGATCCATGTACTGACAAACTCTGCAATACAAAAGTACAATTCACACTATGGGGTTCATTTATAAAAGTTCCGGCCGGAGT